AGAATATATATAATATATAGATGATAATACATATAAAGAATAATGAAATAAAAATAAGAGAAAGAAATAAGCTAACACTGCATATAGGTTAGTACTATTAAAGTTAAATACTATTGACAAAATTCCATCAAAAAAAACAATTTTATTAATATTTATAAAGATTGAATTTATTCTGAATATTTTAAATTCATTTTTTTTTGTTAGAAAATCAAAATTTATTTTTAATTCATTAATTAAATTAAAATTTACATAATTAGAGGCTCTACAAATAAAACTTTCATTATAATAACTTGGACTTCCCAAATTTTTCAAAAATGAACTGATTAACATATCCCATTGGAAGATCAACTGTATGATATTTTCCTCATGTAGTATAATTATTTTGCAAAAGATTAATATTATTGGGGTGTTTCACTGATTGATGTGTTATTGTTATGTGTTAAAGTTTTGTGATATTAATATTCCACAATAAATTTGATACTGATTAGACTTATCTGGAAGAATTTTTAGTATTATTTATTACAGGGTTAATACTACCTTAGAAAGAATTAATCATTTTCTTGATGCCTGAAAAGAAGTTGAGATGATTTATTATTTATTATTGATTTAATATATCTAATAAGATCATCTAGTGTATGACCTATTTTGATGGGTAATATTACATACCATCAAAAGTAAATTTTCTTTAGTATTAAAATGGAAATTCTAAAATAAAAATACTGAGGTGACACAAATTTCACAAGAGCATTATGCAAATTTTGAAGTATTTCAAATGTTACGGGTGATAATGACAAGATGACAGTGAAACTTAGATGAATGTACTACTATCTAGGATAATGAATTTTAAATTTTCAGATAATACCTTTCATCCTTGTGTGTTATCTTTAAGAAAAAGAAGAAACATGATCAGATGTAACAATAAAGAATAAGGTAAACAACTCAAAGGTATAAAATAAATAGGAAGACCTTTTTGAAAAATAGAAACTTTATAATTTTTTTTTTTGATCAATTTCAGGAATTTACATTTTATTTTCTTATATTTATATAAAATATAATAATAATTTTCTTGAAAATCTTATAATAATTTGAAAAAGACAATAATATTCTTTTACAACAGTTTAATAAATTTAATAACAATAGTAATAATTTCAAAATATCTCATATTACTTCAATAAATTTTATCTTCATGATAATACTATTACAGAAGGAAAACTATCATAATAATTAATGGTAAAAATATCACTTATACATAATAAAAAAAACTTAAATTAATGATTAAAGAAAATACAGATAATGGAAAATAAGAAAATAATTTGAGTGTAATATCAAAAATCATCAATCACATGATGCACAGTAATAATTGTATAGCTTAATAATTAAAATTAGTAGAAAAATATAATTATTGATATCTAGTTAATTAGTAATAATTTGTAATGATTAATAATGCTTAGTAATACCCAATAATATTTTAGAAATTATAAATAGTATTTAATAATAAAATAATTCTTATATGTAAATTATTTATAAATAGAATAATTTTACCTTTTATAAATTATCAAATAGGAAAACAAAACTATAATTGTAGATTATACATTAGTGAAACAGCTACAAAAGAGTCTAGAATTTTACTTGTTCAATTTTTTTTTCTTTTTTTTCAACTTAGCTTAGCTCAACTAAACTTTTAGTTTTGTTAACTTTTGTCCTTAACTTTTGTTAAGTAAATAAATAATAATTATATGAAATAAAACTTGATTTTTATATTGATATAATTTTTATTTAATAAAAACTTGAAGAAAAAGATAATATTTTATAAAAGAAGTTCAACTATAAGAAGAATAAACTACAACTATATGCTAAATTGAATAAGATGCAAAAACTACATGACACTTAGGACTCACCTCCAAAAAGAGTAAAATGTAACTATATGCAAAGGTAAATAAGCTATAAATATTGTGTGATACTTATAACTTAACTTCAACAATATATGATAATAATTTGAACATATGAAAGAGGACATTTTGAAGAGACTGATAAATCTAATAAATTGAGAGACTAGGTAAAAGTGACTAGATCCAACAGACTGACAATTTTAAAAACTTAGTATAAACTGAATAAAACTAACTCATAGCAATAAATATAGAAGATTATTAATATAGGCAAAAGATGTAAGTCCTATACTATTTAAACCATTTGTCATAAGTCAACCAAAAAATGTAAGTCTTACAGATGAAGAAGAAATATTAGTTATAAGAAAGGTAAAAGATATAAGACCTGCATACTAAATAAGAAGATATTGTGTTAGAAAATAAACCTCAGAACAAACTAAAAAGATGAAGATAAACCTGCATAATGAGTTAACACCTCTTACTGAAAGAATAGCAAAGTTCAATTGGCTATGCTGCATCAACAAATAGTTTGTTCATTCTAACTAAAAACAGACTAGTGTTTTCTATCATTAAAGAAGCATACCAAACTGCTGTGTGTTTTAGGACACAGCACATTAAATTTTTTAAAAGAACTGATGTAAGGAGCAAGGAAACAAAATGGATTTCATCCTTAACAATGGTAACATTGGTGAGAAATGGTTAACAGCCTATAATACTTCTTACCAACTTTGTAATAAATAAATTTTCATAAACTACTTTATTTTGTGAATAAAGTTACTGCATAAAGTTTGAAGCTAAGAATTTGAAAGTTTGCATAATAAGCTATAAGAGGATACTTTTACTCCACTTACTTATGTACCTTCAGATTACACTTGTGTGTATAGTTATAGAGTTATTTTAGTAGTTGTTTTCAGTGTTTAGGAAAGTGACAGCTTGATTCTAACTGTGAAAAGAGTATATTATTATGTACAACGTACTGTACACAAGAGTGTGAAAAGGGGTGTAATACAAATTCAATTTAGTGAGACTGATTATTGTAACTTTACTTCATGTTCTGAGCAGACTGCCACAATACCCACTGAGGTGGCACAAAACTAACGAAATCATGGGAAATGATATGAGATAGTATGTGTCACTATTTGGATGAATTATCTTTATACTTCATCTTTTATTCAAGATAACTGTTTATTTATCCACAGTGACTATGGATGTATGAAGGGTAAGATATAAAATAGCTGCAGACAAAGAAGAAAAAATAAGAAATTCCTTTTCACTAAAAAAAAAGAACAAGAACCACAATAAAAATATTTTACTTGATATTTCGAACAATCTTAGTTTTAGTTTTATTTTTTTTTCTCTTTTCTTGAACATTTTTTTTTTGTTTTATTTTTACTTTTATTTGTAATAATTTTAATAATAATAAATAATATAGTCACAGGACTAGCAAAGCCAAAGCAATAATTTATCACTATTTTTATATCCTTAAGCTAAACTTTAATAAAATATAATAAACTATTTATTTTATTTCTTGGCAAGTTACACCAAAAGTCTACGATAGTTTTGGTAGTGTGCAAGCGGTAATAAAGATACTTTTACTCCACTTGCTCATAGTACCTTTAGATATTACACGTAGTTATACTGTATAAATCGTGATTGTAGTAAGCAGGTTTAGATCGACTGATTGCCTGATCTTACATTATTGATAGAATACTTCGCCGTGTAATAAATTTGAGACTGATTGACGTAACTTTCCGTATCGTTCTGCACAGACCGTGACAATAGAGAGAAATTAATCACGTATGCTAAGTAGATTATCAAAAGACATCTCACCTACCCAATGTAAGAAAGTGTAGTAACCAGATCAAAAGACATCTCACCTACCCAATAGTAAGAAAGTGTAGTAACCAGAGAAATTACGAAAACGGGAGGGCAAGCAACAACAACATCACTATTGACACTTTAATATTAGGAGCAATTGTTACCGCTTCAACATCAATAATAAATTGAATCAAATCAAATATGCAAATAATAAAAAAGGATTCAAGTTTCGTTATAAGTACAGAAATAATGGAGAGTATAGTGGAATTAATAGGAAATACTCCATTAATGCGAATCAAGAGTTTAAGCAAAGCAACTGGTTGCGAAATATTGGTATTTCATAATTAGAAAAAGTCTCGTTGTGGATTTCTCTGGACTTTATTAGTTAGGGAAAATAGTGGTAATGGGTTGCGATTACGCTATTTATGCGTTGTATTTGTGCTTGTAGTAAATTAGAAAAACAATAATTTGTATAATAAACAGAACATAAATAAATAAATAATTAATTATAATACTGCAGTTTTTAAATCCGGGTGGTAGTCCTAAAAATCGAATAGCTCTCAATATAATTAATGAAGCAGAAGAGAGTATACGATGTTCAACAATAAGTTCATTATTTATTAAAAAGATGTGGAATAATATAAGTACATTCATAATTTGAAATATTAGAAGTTGTAATCATAATTTGTGAATTTAAAGAATCCATGAACTTTTTTTTCTAATTACTATTTGTAAATCATATTTTAAAAAAAAATTGCAATGGTGATAAAATAACACCCACATCAAATTATGTGATCAAATCAAGAAGTATCCTGCAACCACACTAAAAAAATAGCGTTAAGTCGTGATCCGCATTCTTTAAATTCAGCTTTTCACTTGATTCGTTCAAGAGAGAATTAAATATTTTTTTTTTTAAATAATTTTTATGATTTTGATTATGCAATTAGGTACTAATAGAGACTAATTCATTAAATTTTATCAACAAAAAATATACATGATTGGTTATATTTTTCTTCTATGTTCCCTTTCCATGTTTTAACTTTTTTTTATTTTCTTTTATATTACCAGAAGGAGTTATTAGAAATAAAGAAGTAGTCAGAATTCTCTCTCACCCGTTATTCGAGTATACAGTAATTTAAAACTAAAATACCTTTTCGCCGGTGCCAATTTTTTTTAGGTCACATTAATTGAACTGATACAGTTGAACAAAAATTAAAAGATTTACGAAAAGAATTGGAAAAAAAAACTATTGAAGGTATAATTATTGTTGCTGTATTATTAACGTTATTATATATTATTAATATTTGTTATTATTATACATTAATAATATTAATAATATTAATAATATTAATAAATTTCCACAAATAATAGAAGAAACTCAATTAACTGATTTCAAGCGTAAAAAATTAAAGAGTCATTAATGATTCAATTTGATTCATAATATGATTTGGACAGAAATTAGTCATTTTAACAAGTTCTGATAAAGAAATTGTGGTCCAATCCCTATTGAAGATACAAAACCTGGTGATCCAAGAGCTCCTTATTATGGTAATTTATTATAATTAATTTGAATTAATTAATTTTAATATTATTTTTTAAATTATTATTTATTAGGTAAAGAAGAAAATGAGCAGATTGTTATTAATGCTATCAAATCTGTAGACGATCCAACCAATTAATTTAGCAAGTTTACCCTTGAGGGGAGAAAAGCGGCATTCATTTCACCTTCCATTATCCATTATAAGTTTACAATAAAAATAAAAAATAATTTTATTTGAAAAATCTAATTTTTATTATTAACATTTTATTACTTTATCATTTTTATTCAAGAACTTAAAGCATCAATATTTTGTAATTCTATTTATTTAATACTGCTACATATCTACTTATCCAACTTTATATTGTAATAGAATAAAATTTGATATCATTAATTTTGTATTAAATATTTTATACTTTAATTATCATCGTATAAATTGAATGAGTAAAACAATTACATTTTCGGGAAAAAAATGATGTTTGAGAAAAGAACGCCAAACAAAAGGATTATTTCTTGACTTGATAAAAAACAAGTATAATTGACTCAGCACATTCGCGTGAAATTTTTAGGAAATATCCTATTTGCTTTTGACCACGCAGACAGAATATGTCCTTATTACTATTTATGCGCGCAGAATCGGAAAATTTGATGGACCCTAAATTAATAGGCGCCGATCTGCGTGGACAAAGCAAACAGGATATATCCTAAAAATTAAACGCGAATGTGCTGTGTGGTGCAGTAGCAATTTCTTAATGTGGAATTACATCGAAAACTAGTTTTACTTATAATTTTACGGTATGTGAACTTATTCATAGTAAGTATTATTGCAGCACGAAAATTGTAACAATGTAATATAAAATCTTATTATTTTCTTTTTAACGGTCATTCGCATTCTCAATATACAATGACCGTTCACAATAACCAATCCATATTTGATGAAGATGATGAGGAATGATTAGTATAACAGGAAAGTACTCAATTTTATTATTTTCTAAAGTGGTTTTGGAAAAAAAGAAGCCGAGGTTTTGTATTTTTAAATGAATATTATTTGTTTATTTATTTATTTTTACAAATAATTTTCAATGATAAAAATAAATATAATTATTCTTTAGTTTCCTAAGGCATATAGTGTAGATATGAGAAATTTACTTTTGTGACCGAAAAAGATATCGCAATTCTTTATATTCTTTAACATCAATAAACGGTTAATTTTGTAAATAATAAAAAGTTTTTTGCGGCATTTTTTTTTGAATCGAAAATCACACCATTGATGTAATTAAGACTGAAGGAAAAGATGCTGCAATTCCGGTTAACGTAGCTCGAAAGTATTCAGTAAAAACTAACAAGAAATTTCAAATCAGCTTCTATCATGGAATTTTATTATAGTACACTAACAATCTTAGAAACATACAATATTCAATAATTCATTATACAATATGAATAACCAAATATTGAATAATTTCATCCTTTTAGAATAGATGATTTATATCTTATTAAGAATCCTACATTTAATGAAGTCTTTTAAGACGAGATTGGCACTTTAATATTTGTACATTTTCAAGTAAGTGGAATTACAAAAGTTATGTAATACCTAACATTTTCGACGAGTAATCTACATTCAAAATTTTTTTGTTAATTGCTTTTGGGTTTGGGCTTACAAATGCCAAATTTGAAAATTTTTGACTGATAAATATTTTAAAGTTTTACTATAAATAATTATAATAATGCCGAAGTCCGAGGAAATTACCATATATCAATTGTGTAACTCCATGATTTTATCATTCCAATTGCTTAAATTGTACAATTGTAATTCAAAAAATGTGGCGCAGTTATACTAAGTTTATTATCGTCAACGTTACACCTAGTTTTTTTAAATGTTTTGAAACATGTGATGATAAATATTTTAAAGTTTTATATTAAAAAAATAATAGTCGTGAAAAAAAAAGATTGAAAAGAAAGATCCAGAATCTCTAAAATCTACTGCACGTAAATACCATCTCCGAAATCCGAGGAAATTACCTTTTACATCATTGAAATTACATAAAAAGACTTTACAATAGATTTTTCAGTTATGAGGGATAATTGATAACAAAAACTAAAAACAAAATTTTATTGTAAATTTTAGTTTTAATTTAAGTATATAAGTGACCTTTGCCGTCATTATGTATTAAAAATTATCAAAATGTTTTGTTTAGACTTTGTCAGAAAAGGCCCACTTACATGGGTCCGACGTATTGTTATTCTTATATTAGTAACCATTTTAATTATTTTCTCTGTATTATTGATTTCGAAAATGGTTAATGAAGAGCCTAGTATCAAAGTATCTTATGATACAAACAAGGAAACTCAACCTATGCCAAGTAAAATACTTCTTTAATTTTAAATCCTGAAAACGAATGACATGTTTTTCTAATATCAAATCATAATCAATATAGATTTCAATTTTACTTTTAATAAAAATTTTATTATGTTTTGTGAATATGATGAAAGTAAGGAGCTTTAATTATTTCATAAATTGATTTATTATTCTGTTTTATATATCTATCTAATCTAATTCAAAATTTTCAGAAGTTGGAAATTGCTCTGATTATTTTAAATATGAATCCGATGCCAATAGCTATTATTATTTATCAGAGGGACAAGCAACTCTGAGCGTTGATAATTATTTAGTTTTTGGGATATACATCACTGATGAAACATACTCTCGTTTAAATCATACTTCTCCCATGATCATGCAAACATTTGATTCAGGTATTTTTTATGAAATTAAGACTTTTTGTATCTTTAATAACTTTAATAATAATAACAACATGACAATAAATAAATAGAATATCCGTACCAAAATAAACATCCTAAACTTAAGAGTTCAATTGATGTGGGAAATATTTATGCTTTAACAGAATCTAATGGTACAAATGTATGTATATTTAGTTAAATCATAATTCTTGAATGGAACATATTTTTATATGTTATTAAAAACACTAATAATAAAAAATCCAATAGGTATTTTTTTTTCGGTACTATAGACTTAGAAGAGAAGAATTGGATCACTCATTTCTTACTCAACTTGGTTGGAAACCAAAATATGAAATATACAATTACATTGAATCTGAAATGCGTATGAGAATTTATTTTTTATATAACTGCGTGCGTATTTTTTTAGTACTAATATTGTCTAACTACAGAGACTATCGAATATTCGTTACCGGGGCCATTTAATGATGTTTATGATGATGACGTTTTTTACAATTTTTACGCAAAGGTGGTAATTAAGCTAAAAACTAATATCATAGAAGTAGAAAGAGAACAAAGGTGAAAAAATTTTTCAAGTGTATATTCTGTTATATTTTGGTTACAATATTTTGTTAATATATTCGGATGCACAACTTTGTAACAATAAATATAGAGCGCGTACCGTAAGCAACATCTTTTAAATCGTTTTTGAAATTTTATCATATACAACTAGTGATTATTAATTTTGATAAATAGATCTTAGAAGTGTTAGCAAATATTGCTGCTCTTTACGGATTAGCTTTTGGTATTTATGCACTCTTATT